CCCCCCCCCCCCCCCCCCCCGGAACACAGCACCCTTGCCCATGCCCCTGCTGAATATCACTGTTTCGACGGGGGCACGTATCAACCCCCCACCCCACAAAAAAACCCACCCCACAAAAAATGGCATGTGTGTACCCGGACCCGCTGCTGCGCCAATGCGCCTTTTCTGTCCTGGTCAATGGCGCGGCTTCAGGATATACAGACAGAGCAATCACTGGCTGATTCTGATGGTGAAGGAGACGCCAGGACGAAAAATTCCTTGCCTCGGGGCGCCACGTTTGACTAAATGACTCGCTCAGGCCACCCGTCCCTCCTTTTACCAATACCCTGGCCATCATGCCAACGCCACAGCCACACCAATCTGTGGCGGACTGGATAATACAGCGACGCCACGCTCGTACCGCGCTACGCTGCCGTGGCGCATGATACTTTGGTGGTACAATCCCTTTGCCCGGCACGGTCAATTGAGCCGACAACCTGGACTGCAACTTTCGCGCAAATCAAACTACCACCCCACCCAGGCACGTCGACAGGCAGCGCGCAGTAGTTCAGGAACCCACAACATTGAATGGACGGTACCCCCAATAGTTTCTCTCCCCCCCCTCCCCCCTCTCTCTGGCACAAGTCTCACAAGGAAAACAAACGAAGAAAGACGAATGATTCGCTGACTGAACCGGCCCCACTAGAAAAACAAAAAACAAACAAGCCTGCGCCGCCCACCGCCAACGGTGCGGCCGATGAGCTTGATTCTCCGCACCAACATCAGATATATCAACCGAGCCAGCGCAGGGATGGGTGTAGCCCTCCCTACTGTCGATGAGTGATGCGCGCTTCGACCCAGCCGATCCTACCCCACCAACCGGCCCAACCGGTCGCGCGACGGTCCACAAGCACGTCATGAAAAATCTTAAAATCCGAGCTGCGAATTTCCTCCAGAGTCTTCAAGCTGTGTAAGGAAACTGATGATGATGTCCAGGAAACCCATCTGAGGAAAACGGCATTGTAGGGGGGGGGGGCGTGTGGGAAGGGCGCATGGGAATGGTGGGGGGGGATGTACTCATAATCGTGCATGCCGTAGTCGTTAGACCATTGGCCTCGCATCCCTACAAAGCCGGGA